TGGCCACTTTAAGATGAGTGGACTTCAACTCCCAGAATTCCCCAGCCAGCCAGCCAGCCAGTTGAAGTCCACTCATCTTAAAGTGGCCAAGTTTGGACAACACTGACCTATTGGGACTGAGGAAGTGTGCCTTCTCTGTTGAAGTGTCTCTCCTGTGGAATAGCATACCACCCACGATTCAGATGGTCTTAATCCTATTGGCCTTCTGTAAAAATTTGAAAACCTGGCTTTTCCCCAAGCACTGGGCCAGAGCATTGGACGAGCCCATCCTGTAATGGCTCTGGAACTGGAATATGTTGTGGTTTGGCCTCAGTTATGCTGTTATTGTGGTGTGTCTTTGTGTGTTTGTTTTTAATGTTTATATAAGCTGCCTCAAGTCTCTATTTGTGAGTTGGATAGCCATATAAATCATATAAGCAAACAAACAGTTCAGTCCCATTTTAGCCTACAGTGTTTCACAAACTCTGCCAATGGATTGGAAACAGTAATTTAAGCCATCTGGCCCAAACCTCTGCTCTGCACAGGAATCCAAATTAAAGCATCCATGACGGATGGCTGTCCAGAAAAAGAAAAGCAAAAGAAACCCTTGCTATTAAATCATAAGAAAAATAAATGAAACTGCTTTTATAGCAAGTCAGCCTTTGACCCATCTTACTCAATACTAGCTGCACTGATTGGCAGCAGTTCTTCGGGTTTACAGGTAGGGCATATCTCCTGTCCAGCTCTTTAGGGATGCTGAGGACTAAACCTGGAATCTTCTCCGTGCTCTATCACAAGGCTACAATTTTACTCGGAGTCCTTCCAATGAGTCCCTTTCACTTAAGACAGTAGTTGAAGCATCTGAGATCTTGATATCTGTACTCTTCACAGTGAATTATTGCATACTAGCTAAAAGAGTGGGATCAATTATGAAGATGCTTAGCTAATCTTGGAAGCTAAGTGAGGCTGGCCTGGTTAATATTAGGATGAAGGACAACAAGAGAATCAGAAACCTATAACTCTGCCAAATTACTTCTGTAACTTTGCTTAAAAAAATTGCATGACTGCAGTCACCAAGAATTTAGCATTACTTGTGAGTCTCTTTACCTTTTCATTAAGACGCTTGGAGAATTTGAGGTTTTCAGCTTCTGTTACACCCAATTCATTCTTCCAAACTAGTGTGTGGATTGGGATATAACTGTCCACCAATTTTTATACTTCAGAAATACTCTAGTATAGTTCAGGGCTTCCAAACTTCAGTATCTGTTTTTTTAAAGACACATTTAGAAAGAAAACAATTTATAAAAATACATATTGAAATATTCTACAGAAATAGAATGGGACACACTTAGGATGAGCACCTGTGAAAGTACTGCAGGTTAAAAATAGACTGATTTGTCAATCCTGCATTAAGATAACTGGTGGTGCTATACAACTGATACACTCTGTTCATTGCACGTCATACCTGGCATTCTGCTGTTTGGTTTGGAAACCTGGAGGTGACCTGCGTTAAGACTCTCTGCAGTCCAAATAATACACAGGGACCAGTGTGTCTTGTATTTCAGTTCAGCCTTTTCCCAATCCCATTGAAAGCAAAGAACACCAAAGGGCTCTCATGGAAAAAGGAGAAGCCTGCACACCATTATCTTGCATTCATCATCCACGTACACTCGTGTTTTATTGTTGGCGATTCCCAATTACAGAGCATTTTTCAGAAAAACAAGCAAAACCCTCAAAGCAGTGCCTTTCCCTCCCTGCATCTTTGCCAAAGAGATAATCGGTGAGAGGCGGAGTTAGAAGGGCTACGGAAGCAAATGGAGGAAAAACTCATCACTCTCTCTGAATATCCCTTTGGGATTTTTAACTTGTCCCCACCTCCACCTCTGTTTTCATGTGTTTGGGCCAAGCCATGATTAAGGTTGCATATTTTCTCCTTCTGTCACAGGTTGCTGTGTCCCAATAGCCTTTCCTCCTGTAGAGGAACAAAGACACATCTGCTAAGTTTCAAGAACGTTTCAGGATCTGGAGCTCTCAGACAACTGCTTTTATATTAGCAGCTGGATTTGCAACAACATTCTAGTCCAGGACAAAATGGGCTTTGGTAGTGCTGGTTCATCTTGTTGCCTAAGCACGCTGGGTGCACCCAGGTCATATCATTAAGCTATAAAACTGTTCATTTCTTTGGGACATATTTCGTGAACGTGAGATTAAAATCTTTTATACTGTGTTTCACAAAGACCTGGGAAACCTAGATTTTAATTTACAGCCAGCCATGAATCTCATTAGTTGATTTGGGGCCAGACTCTTTGTTGTGAGTGGACAGTGGAAGGGGAGCACCAGGAAGGCAAAGGTGAAATAAAAATCAAAAATCATTCCCATTCCCTCAAAACTGATTTCAGCTTGGCTGGGGTGTTGGAAAGTCTGCCCATCCATGACAGCTTTCTCTAACTTTAACCTACTGGATGTTTTAGACTTCAACTCCCATGATTCTAGGGAGCCCTCTTCCTTCTTTTGGACGTACTCTTATGCTCCATCCACCTACAGGTATGTGTGCATTGCAATGGAAGCCTTGGATCAGCTACTGATGGCCTGCCACTGCCAGAGCATCAATCTCTTTGTGGAGAGCTTCTTGAAGATGGTGGCCAAGCTGCTGGAATCAGAGAAGCCTGACCTGCAAATCCTTGGCACCAATTCGGTAAGCATTTCCTTTGGACATGGTCTGGAGGAGGCTGACAATGGTATATCTAATGAGTTCCCCTCCACCTTAGAAGGGAGTTTAGCAAAATATCTAAGCTATTGAGCATTGAATTTGGAAAATTCCAGTTCAACTCTCACCTCACAAGCTGTTGTCCTGTTTCACACACACTCAGTTGCTAGCTGAAAATAGCAGTTTACTCAAGGCTGAGTATAACAACACATCAGAGCAGGAAATCAGATAGTTGTTTCCAACAGAGAACCATGAATCAGGCTGCAGCCAGCTGTCTTTAAGAGAGTTACTCCCTTGCAGGGTGGGGAGCCTCACTGAATGTCTTTCCTGTGCTCTCCAAACTCGTGACTGCTCCAGCTGTTCTGATGGTGCCTGTGTTTGATCAGCTTCAGGTGATTGCTGGCTTGGTGTCTCCTGAGGCTCACATTCCACTGGTTCAGTTGGAGCAGCTGAGTCAGAGCCTGAATCCTGGGCCATGACAGCTGGTCTTAAGAAAGTAATTATTAGTCTCAATGACTAGCTTAACCTGGGATGGGAATGTGCTGCTAGGTGTCATCAGCATACTGCTGGTATCTCATCTCAGACCATTGGATGGCCTCTGCCAGTGGTTTAATATAAGTGTTGAAAGATCAAATCCTATAGGATTCCATAAGTGAGAGACCAACAGATTGACTTCTTCTCCCCCACTGACACTGATTAATACTCTTCACTCAGAAAGGAGATAAATTAATGAGGTACGCCGCTCTCAGTTCTTCATAGGTGGTCCAGGAAAATACCACAGTCAATAGTATCAAATGTCATTGAGATGTCCAAGAGGAGTGTGCTCTCCGCATTCAGGTCTCAGTGAAGGTCATCAACCAGCTTTTTCCATCCCATGATAAAGTCTGACTCAAGACTGAAAGGGATCTAGATAATCCACTTCTTCAAGGATGCTATATGGCTAACACCATTCACCAAAGCTGGGGTGGCTTTTTGAGGAGGGGGAGTACCACTGCCTCCTTCAAAGCTGATGGAAACACACCCTCTCCCAGTGAGGTGCTGACTGTTTACTCACCCAGTTCATCAGAGTCTCCCACCAACTCAAAGGAGCCAGGAGATCCATGAATCCAGTTCACAAGTTGCATAGGTCACACCACAGAGTACCATCTTCACAGGCTGAAATGAATACGAGATAACATTGCAAGGCATTGTCATATCTGATTATGCCTTTGAAGAGTCTAGTTTAGGGCAGATGTGAGTGACTCTGACAGCAAAGTGTTGTGCTATCAAGTCATAATGACCAACCAGTAGATCCTCTTGCCCAACAATCTCTAACAGGGTAACCTTAAATAAGGCTGCTAGACAGCAACCCGTTGACCAAAAAAAAGTAAAAAAAATACAAAAGCTTTGCCACTTGCATTTCCATGAGGTAGGCTCAGACATGAACTCATACACATGCTCCACCAGATTACTTTTCATCTTACTCCACTGGCTCTCCGGGCCTCTCCCTGCTACTTCATTTCCTGGAGATGATCTGTAATCCAGGGGAGCCTCCCTGGAATTGGCCAACAGTAAGTGGCCATTTGGAAGCAATCTTGTTGAGAGCCCTAGTCACCTCCCTATTGAAGGAATCAACCAGGTGCTCAGTGGCTGTCTGCTGTCCCTCTCCAATCACTGGCAAGTCTGAAGTCCAATCCACAGCCACCACACTCAACCAAACACTCCCCAGTTATCCTGAGTTAGAGGCTAATGTCTGGCAAGTCATTCTTCCCAGCCCCTAAACATATATTCACTCTCCCTTCAGACTAACCTTTCTTTTATCCATGCCTCATAATTCCTTTACTCCCATCCATTCCATCTTCTGTTCCTCTCCTGCAAGAACCTAATTCTCACTCAGGTTCTCCAGGTTTAAAGTCATTCCCCCCCTTGCTCCACAGGGACATCTCACTCAAGGAAACATTACTTACAATGAACCAAAACCACCCACAGAGCATCTACTAAATGCACAGCTGTTCTTATTGGAGTTTGTTTTTCAGTGGCCAGCTGGAATTGCTTGCTTTCTCCTGCTTCTCCCAGAGGACCCACAATGACCAGGAACCAGTTTCCTTAAGCAACCACCTCCATTTTTATTAACACAGGAGGTCTGACCAGATAGCCCTATCTTTACTGCCACCAACTCTGTCTCATCTATGTAGCTACTATAATGGTGATCCACCCTCTCAACTAGCCTTCAAAGAACTGGAGTATTACCATACTGCACCGTTGCATTCTCTGGATACCTTGCCCCTGGGATCCCATGCTGGAATCCCAGGGCACTCTGTTTTGACAGCCAGGACTCTTTTGGGGTTTAATTGCTCCAATTGTAAGCAATATTTTTCTGGGCTGTGCAGCTATGCAATTTGTTGTAAACCATGCTCATTCCAGAGATCACACAATTCGTTGCTAGCATTTTTTCTCTACAGAAAGCTATATAATTGGCTGAGAGATCCCATTAATTTCTGAAAATGTCTTAGCTGTCAAGGGCAAAATTATTTAAATTTTATTCCTCCCACCCACTTTTTGGAATACGGTGTTGTGCATGCCATTGACAAGCCAAGTATGGGCCTTGGTCTCAGGAAAACTGCATATCCCCTACCTTATGGAAATGTTGATAGTTAATCGGCCTTCTCTAGCATGATCAGATGATCTTAGTCCCAGTGGGGGAGGGTAAAAATAAGGGCCACCTCCCTTTCCCTCTCCTTGCATAGCAAAATTTTGGCTTGAGAGTTTTGGAAAGAAGAAAACAGTATCCAGAAGGAATGTTAGGCAGAGCAGTGATAAGATGGAAGTCTTGCCTTTCCCATCAGCTGGCTAGAAAGGCAGTGAAGGTAGACATGAAAAGAGAACCGATAAAAATTGATTTGGTGCGTGGCAGCAGGCAGCTGTTTCTGCTTCTGTTAATTGCAAAATAGAGCCTGTCTCACAGTTGGCCAGATGCAAGTCTCCTAATCTGAGCTTACTGCTTGGGAGGGAACAATTGTTTGTCCCAGAAATGAGCTGGAGTGATTTAGAGGTAAGAGCATCTTTGGACGGAGGGTGGTTGGACTTGGGGAAAGAGCTGTTGATATGTGCATCACACCTGTGCTTTTACTTAAACTGCAAGGATTCATTAGCACTGAGCAGCCTCTGAGCTACCAAAGAGAGGAGGAGGCAAGGGAATTGCAGAAATTCCCATCCATCGTAACACAGTTTCATTGCCTTTAACTTAATAAGGGTAAATGGGAGAAGAAAAGAAAAGGGACAAGGTGGGTGATGTAGAGGCAAGAGGCTCTGAACAGCATTTGAGCTAGACCTCAATTAGATGTCTGCAAACATTGGAGTCCATGACACAATACATGAATCAATGGGTAGCCTTCTAAACAAAGACAGATGTTCCACAATGTGAACAGTGAAATCATGCAACCTGAACACTCTCCTTTTTTCCTATGATTTATTTACAGTGTATCCAGGAGAAATGGAGTAACTCATATGATGTATAATGTCTGTAATATTTGCTAGCACGGTATCATTAAATTAGATGAGGAGAGGTCACGATGTTGAGAAGTATACAGTAAAAATAGGTTTATGTGCATGTATTCATATGCGTTCTGTCTGTGGATATACAATATGCTGTTTCTTACTGAGGAACTGCATTCATAGAGAAGGTGGTCACTTGTGAAACGGCCAAACATTTACTACATTGCTCTCTGCAACATCGGTGTAATTTAATTTCATGTATTTGATTTAGGCACCATTCAACTTCAAACTGATTCTGGGCAATGTACAAAAAAGCCGAACAGAATAGAAAATACAATAATTATAAAAGAAATAAGAAATAAATAAAAAACAGGAACCAGTGGCGAATCCGGCTGACCACGCCCATATCCTCAGACAATCTGTCTGGGACTCCAACCACCCTAATCCAAGGCCTCCTGTAGAAAAAGAAGGAAATAAATTTGATTAAAGGAAAATCTTCATACAGGACTTTAGGCATGAACCATACTTGCACATGTTGTTTGCAAAAAGAATGGATTTGCAAAAAGAACTTGAAGCACCTTGAGTCAAGGAGTTGGAGACTGAAGAGACTACAATGGAGCCAGTGACAACAGTACTGATTTCAGAAGCCAAATGTTTGTCTGGGGAGAGGTTCAGTAATTCATTCCAGAAACTCACCTATGTGTAGGGGTAGAGTAAATGCAGACAAGCAAGGATCATGTGGTGCTTGAAAGATTCTCACATGCACATACTAAGGATTCAACCCATAGCAGATAGATTACGTAAACATCTTAAAAGGAATCCCAGTTAATTTGTAGATTTTTTTTAGGCTTTATTATTAATAACTACTGGTCTTTTTATTCAAAAGGGGTACAATTGACGGTTTCCACTCGAGGAATTCTCCCTTTAGGCTCACACAGGAAGTATTTTTCTTTTAAGATAGCAGCTGCTGCAATGTGTTTCTACATAATTTCCAAACAACAAAGTTGTGTTTTCCTCTCCCTTCAAAACACTTCCTTTAGAATGATGCCTGCTTTGAAAAATAGACGCTTAAGCTAAATAGAGACATTGTTTATCAGATAATATGCAGAGTTGAACAAAGCTGTGTTATGAATTAACCAGTCATATCCTCATCTTTCTGTATGTACACACACTTTTTCTGTATATTTCATGTTTCAATTCTTTTCCCATTCCAAAAACTCCTGAGGCAAGGGAGTTTTGCCATCTGCCAATATGGATATTGTGAGTAGGCATGGAAAATATGGCTTCTTCTTGATTATCTAAAATGCTAGCACCAGGTTAACCCCCAAATGATGAGGAATGATGGGTATTTTTAAAAGTAACCCTATTTTGTATTGTCTCGGCCTCATTGTAAACTACCAGACTGGTCCCTTTCCGTGGGTGGAGCTTGGAATATAGATCCCGGTCCTCCAAATCATGAGCTGGGGCAAAAGGAGATTGTAAATGCAGTTTATGGAAACTATGGTTTAAATTCATCCTAAACAACTAGAGAAAAAAAAGAATCAAACTTCAGTTTCTAGTGGAGTCAAATGATTATCAGGGAAGAGGCATTTTCCATTGGCCTGAGAATCCACCTAAGTTAGACATTTGTGAAGGATCCTCAGGGGCTGGAAAGTAAAATTCTGAACTAAGTCCAGGTATGCAGTTAGAAACAATTCACATTCAACAGGGAGATACATACACACTGAGTAGTCAACAAAATGTTGAAAACAAAAAGTAAGGAACAAAAATGAGCAAATAGAAGCCATGCATAAGGGGAAGGAGAAAACCTTTATAGTTCAGGAGTATATGGTAGAGGTTAGGAGTATAAGGAAAGAGGCAAAGTTTTAAATATCCAGATTCAGTATTGCTCTTTGTCAGCATTTGTATACTGTAGATGGAGGTACTGTATTCTATTAGGGATTATTTTGCTCGTATTTATATCAACAATCTTTAATTAAAGGATTCTTCAAGGCTATGACTGCTTTATTAATTTTTCAGCCAATAAATTCAATTCCTCTCATTTTTAAATATTGTTCCAAAGAAAGATATAATTTTACAGTGTTTTATTGTACTTGAACTAGCAGCTAACAACCAATTGAATTTGTTCTGTTGCTTTGATTTATATGTCCTGGGAAGATTGGATGATAAAGCTACACTAATATAATTATTCAAGACTATTGTGTATTTTCTCCAATTTCCCTGTTTTGGCTGCTCTAGAGAACTCCCTGCAGCTGGCTAGGTACCAGGTTTTCAAAACTTAGATGGCATTATACATAATTTTGTGTACAGGCAATTTTTAAAAATAATACTGTAGAAAAAGTTCCTGCTGTGTATGAGAATAGACTCATAAAACTACTTTTGATAGAAAATGAAGACGTTGGAGAAGAGTGTGCAGGCACACATTTTGACCTCTGCACAGGAGAGGCTGCATGATTCATAGATGGGAAGATGGAAGTGAAGAAATCTTGCTTTAGATTTCAGGAAAACTGAGGCAGAAGCTCCATTTAACTCAATGGGACTTAGGGACGCATGAGAATTCCAGAAATCAAAATTCACGTTTCCCCTATTTTAAACCTTAAGCCATCTTTTACGTAGTTTAGCTTAGTTTAAGAAGGGACCACGCTTCTGTGGTAGAGGCTCCAGGTTGTGGATACTTTTTTATATTCCCCCCCTCCATGAGCAAAAGGCAACACACGTGTCCCCTATACTTTATTCCTTCAACAACCTCATGAGGTAGATTTTGGTAACTTCAGAATCATATATGCAAGGATAGAATATTATTTGTCCCCTACACAGAAAGTACAGTATATTGGTAAAGAATTAGATTGGGACTGGAGAGATCCAGGTTCAAATCCAGCCTCAAGCTGGGAAGCTTCCTAGGTGGCATCAGGCCTGTCTTTATCAGATGATTTGCAGCATCTCTTTATATTCAGCTGTTCCTTGACTTTTAGCTCAATTCTCTCATCTGTCCCCCCCAAATCCAGGACCCACTGGGACATCCTCCTATTGGATCCTCTGGCTTTACATTTAAGGTAGTATGCAAAGTTCCAACTGAGAAAATCTGCCTCCTTGACCCTTTTCTCTCCTGCCTGTCATGGACACTTGACCCACACCGTCACATTTTTGTCAGTTGTGCCCCACTTAACTCATGGAAAAGTAATCCTTACCAAAATGTATCTCTTAACCATAAAAAGGCCACCTGGAGCTGAAATGTCCAGAGTCATGAATCATTTCATCCTTTTCCTTCAGATAACAAAATGCTTTGCTGGCCCTGCCTCCATTAAGCAAATTCTGGAGAGCGGCTGCGGAGGTCTTCTCCTGCAAGAGAGCTTGAGAGCTGCTAAAGAGCTTCAGATAGGACAGACTTCAGAGATCACATAAAGGCTCCGATAAGACAGAACTGCATGGATCAAGGGCTGCTTGATCCCATCAATCTTGAAAGCATTGCTCAGATTGGGGTAATCTGTTGCCTTTTACCTGAGCTGTGCCCAACCTCAGCTTTTTTTTCCTAAACTCTTAAGCCTGATGTGTAGCCTTTAAACATCGTTTTCAATGTGAACTTGAATTTTGAGGAAGAAAAATCCCTGGTACCATAAGTGCAAGATGTGACTTGTGCTGCTGACCACTACCCTGGCCTGCTTACAGACAACTTTTTATGATAGAAATAAAATCCTCACAAGGATTTCCTCCTCCATTGAGGCGGGAGACGTTATTTGGTGATTTTCTTCGATTGGCGCACGAGTGCAGTATTTTTAATATTACCTCCTTTTCTCTGCCCTGATGCCCTTTTTTCCTTTCCTCCAGTTTGTGAAGTTTGCAAACATTGAAGAAGACACTCCATCTTATCACAGGAGCTATGATTTCTTCGTCTCTCGCTTCAGTGAAATGTGCCACTCCAGCCATGATGACATGGAGATCCGGACAAAGTAAGTAGAGACCTCAATGGATGCTGGCAGCTTCAGCAGCCTCAAGAAATTCCTGGTTTTCTACTGACAGGCCAGTCCTTTTGTCTTCCCAACTATAACTCAGTAATACCATTCTCACAACACAGTGAACCAGATAAAAACTTAGTGACTCCTAGGCTTGGTTAGTGATGACCTTGATTAGATTTTTGGAGAGGCTAGCATGTTGTGCAACCCTCCTCTTTAGGGTTATTTTATGATTCAGTGTACTCTGCAGGCTCAGAAAATGGGTAAATTCAGTAACAAAGTCCTATCTATCTATCTATCTATCTATCTATCTATCTATCTATCTATCTATCTATCAGAGCCATGTGTCAGGGTCACACAGCATGCTAAACTCTTGAAGCAAGTTTACAAATTCATTTTTTTTTCATGTTGTGCCCAACTATTTACATAGATATTCATCATACTATTCCCTTTCAGGGTAAGCAACATTATGCCAAGCACAGAAAAGGCATAAGAAATAGCCAAAGACATTAAAGCACAAAAGAGAAAAAGGAGAAGGAAATACAGCTAAATCTAGTTTATATCAATTCCATTAATTATACCTCTTCATATTTTTCTGTCCTTGCAAGCTATCCTAGCTTCCACCACAGCCATATACCAAGGTATACATTGCCTTTCATTCTTTTTAACTTCTCTCTTTTTGAATATCTCATCAACTTCATCCAGCCACAACTGATGTACAATTTGTGATAATCCCCTCAATTTTTCCTGTCAAAACACAGCTACCATGGTCTGTATGAAGCAGCATATGGAAGTAGAGTATAGAGAGGTTTAATGAGTGGGTTTGATATATATTTGATTTAGATATATAGCTGATTTAATTTAGCTGTATTTCCTTTCCTTTTATTCCCCATACCTTTAGGCTTACTATTTCTTTTCCCTTTTTATACTTTTCATAATTCAAATTACCTCAAAAATGAATAGTGATGGGCACGTATGTACTGTATGTTAAATATGAACCATAAAAATATATCTAGTAGAACACTCACATCTGTCTGTAACCTTCAATTGGATGAAATAGTGCATCGTACGGCAACAGTTTTTGAACCAAGGTACTTCAAATGGGCTAATTTACAGAATGCATTCAAAATCTGGGACCCATTACTCCCGTGGGATTGAAATTTGGCAGAGTTGTGGCCACTTCAGCACCGCCATGCTCCAACCACTTCAGCATCACCGCAGTCAGCCACGGTCATGTGATTGTCATTTCCATTGCTCCTTGACAGCTTCCCACAAGTCAGTGGGAAAGCTGGCAGGAAGTCTAAACTTGATCGTGATTGCCAAGGCTCCCTAACAGCTTCCCACAAGCAAAGTTAGTGGGGAAGCCAGCAGGAAGTTGCAAGTCCAAGGCCAGCAGGCAGGTAAGTGGCTGCTGCCAGGTGGGGGAGGGAGCGAGGGGGAGTGCAGGAAGTGCAGCAAGGGTCGGGGAGGTTGTGTGGGGTGCACAAGAAGTGTGCTGGTCAGGGAGGGTGCACAAGGGTGCAGCGCAGGTCAGGGAGGGAGGGAGATTTCCAGCGCTCCCTGCCAGCTTCCAACAAGGAAAGTCAATGGGGAAGCTGTCAGGAAGTTGGAAGTCACTCCTGCTTCCACTGCTTTTTTGCCCGCCCATAGTCATTCTTCTTCTCTGTTTAGGTAAGGAAATATCAACGGATCACAGTTTGTCTAGTATGATATACAAACAAACTGTACTATAAAACATACTACACTTTAATGTAAAGGCTTCGTTCCTATAACAGGCTGAACCGCAAACTACCTAACCCAGTTTTAGCATGGTATAGCATGCTGCACTGACCCATGAACTGGTAACTGAATATTGCAGAAAGGCCCATCCTTCAATCAGTAGAACTGAATAGTAGCTTCCTAGATTCATTTTGTAAGTCAAAGCAAATTTTCAGGCAGTGAACACACCACTACACAATTTCAAACAGCGTTATGTCTTGAAAAAAAAACAGGTTTTTTTTTTTTTTTTGCCCAAATTTTTTTGAAATTTGCAAGATTTTAGATTTAAAAAACAGAGATCGTGGGTGCCATCTAGTGGTATAAATAGATGCTGACTTGCCGCTGCGCCCCTCAAATTTAACTCT